AATAGCAATTGTCATGATAAATGGTGATCCATTCAAGAAGGATGCACCCAAGTTTATCTGTTCCTCACCCAGCCTTGGGAACTGGATAGGAAGCGGGGCAGGCCCTGGGAGCTGGGCATGGAGGGTAACTGGCCTGCTTGAAGTTACTGGATGTGCCTCTACACACGGCAGCATCAGTACTGGAGTGGGAAGGCTCAGACTCTTCCACTCTCCAGAGCAGAGGTGGAGAGGCAGCCTAAAGCCACGTTTAAGCGTTCCAGCTCATGTTTGAGGCCGAGTTACTTCTAGAAAGATCCTGTAGTCAGTTGGATCTGGAAAACGTGCTGTTTGCCACTTTAGCAAAGAGACTGCCCTTTTGTTCTTGTCTGTCAGATGTCTTCTCAGTTATAGCAGCCCCAGGCCACATTTACTTATTTATTTATTTATGATGAAAAACACGTAACAATTTTCCATCTTTTTTTTTCAATTATAGTTCACATTCAATATTATTCTGTATTAGTTTCAGGTGCACCACATAGTGGTTAGACAATAATATACTTTACAGAGTGGTCCCCTGGAATTTCAAGTACCCCCCTGACCTATACATAGCTATTACAATATAATCCCTCCCACCGCCCCAACCTCTTCCTGGCCACTTCTACTCCCAGCACATGCCCTCACCCCCCTAGTGTCTGTGTCCATTGATAATGCTTATATGCATGTATACAAGTCCTTTGGTTGATCTCACCCCGCTACTTCCCCACCTTCCCTCTGAGGTTTGACAGTTCGATGCTTCTGTGTCTCTGGATCTGGATCTATTTTTGCTCATCAGTTTATGTTGTTTACTATAATCCACAAATGAGTGAGATCATGTGGTATTTATCTTTTTCTGACTGGCTTATTTCACTTAGCACAGTGCTCTCCAGTTCCACCCATGCCACAGGCCACTTGTGTTGTCAAAACAAAACTTCTTCAGTAAACAAGGAAATATGCTAAACTGGTAGATGTGATTTCACTGCTCACTGCTCAGTGTTATGTAATACATTCAAATTTTCTCCCTAAAACAAAACAAAACAAAACAAAACAGAACTTGTGAAGGGACCTCTCTGCTACCATCTGTTGGAACCAATTCTTGCTTTGGTGAACTTTCAAGTCCTCTAGTGGCAAATGTACAATTAAATGTCTACATGCTATGAAATGGCAACAGCTGTTAAAGCCTATGGGAAAAATCATCATAAGTCAGTGCTATAATAAACTGAGGACTTACACGTGAGAATCAACCAAGAGGACATCTCTGCCCTTGATCTTACTTCCTCTCTACATGTGTCGGTTCTTTCTGCATCCTTATATGTAAACTCTGTACTTTTTACGTGGATATGTTTCTAGAAGTAGAATCATTGGGTCAAAAGTGCACTTCTCATAGGCTTCTGAGGACATGATGGCCAAAGGCTCCTTAGTAAGATGGAGACGTTTCCACCAGCAATGTACAAGAATGCCATTTCTCTGAGCGGAAACAGCCTAGGGTATTTGCAAACTGAAGGTAAATAATAGTATCTCATTTAAATTCAGATTTTTGATTATTAGGAAAGATGAACTTTTCCCCAAATTTATGTATGTGTGCGTATTTTATTTAATGAAACTAGGGGCCCAGTGTATGAATTTGTGCACTTTGAAAGGAACTGTGGGCCACGAGGCTGCAGTGGGCTCAGGGGCGAGTCTTGGCCCATCCTCCATGCCCCCACCTGGCTCCTCCCACCACGGCCCCAGTCCCTTATCTGCCAGCAGCCCAGCCCTGTCACTGCTGATGGCATCATCCTGCTCGCACGCCCTGCCTGCTCGGAGCAATTGGGGCCAGTGCCAGCAGCAGGTGCGAGCAGGGCTAGCACAGTCAGTAGGTGGGAGTGGTAGCTGCTGCCCTGATTGCCCCTCAGGAGCATCAGGAAGTGGAGAAGCCCTCAGGGGAAAACGGGGCCAGCAGCCACCACTCGTACCTGCTGGTGATGCCAAGCCATCACTGGCGCCGGCAGTGGGTTTGAGCAATGGCTCTGTTGCCAGCTGTGGGTGCGAGAGGTGACTGCTGGCCTCAATCACTCCTCAGGAGCAGGGGGAGGTGGAGAAGCCTGGAGGGGCGATCAGAGCCAGCAGCCATAGCTCAAAACCACTGATGGCATTGGGCGATTGTGAATGGTAGCTCACAGCGCATGTGAGTGGTAGCTCCAGCACTGGCTGTGCATGTGAGCACTGGGTGGGACCGTGGTGCATGGGAGCAAAGAATTTTCAGTTGCTGTCATCAGAGGCTTGCCCTTGGTCTGGCGTCCCCACTAACCTGTTCCACCGTCCTGCCGTGGCCAGCACCTTCCATATTTTACTCGTGCCCCCTGGTGGTCAGTGCACGTCATAACAACTGGTTATTTTGCCATTTGGTCTATTTGCATATTAGGGTATATGTACCCAGCCATACCTTTTGCCCATTTTTAAAAATCTTAAGCTATTTATTTTAATATTATACATTCATAAAAACTCATAGATTGTTTCTGGTCTGGTGGCTCAGTTGATTGGAGCTTTGTCCCATAAACCAAAAGGTTTCTGGCTTGATCCCTGGTCAGGGTGTGTGTGGTTGATGTTTCTCTCACATCAATGTTTCTCTCTTTCTCTCCCTTCTTCCCTCCCTCTCTAAAATAGGGGTGTCGAACTCAATCAGAGAAGGGGCCAAAATTTAAAATCCAGCCTAAATCGCGGGCCGAATGGTTTACTGAACAGTCATAAACTGTCATTGTGATGGAAACGCAGCGGAGTGCAGTGATGACAACGCGGTGCGGGCCACATTGCAAGGCCTGGCGGGACGGATTTGGCCCGCGGGCCTTGTGTTTGACACTTGTGCTCTAAAATATCGATAAAAACATATCCTTGGGTGAGGATTAAAAAAAAAACACACAAAACCTCATAATTTGTCATCATTATTAACTCTTGATTTTAGAGAGGAAGGGAGAGGGAGAGTTTCAAGCTTATGGATGCTTTTGGCTGTCTTTTTATTATTGATCTCTAATTGTATTGCCTTGTGGTCAGAGAATGTGGAATATTTTATATTTCTTGACACTACTTTTGAGGCTCCGTATATGGGTGGTTATTCCTTTAGCTTCTGGGGACTTTGCTCTCCTTTTCACGGCTCTGCTCCTTTCTCAACCCTCTTCTGGGCTCTATTCCACCCCAACTACTCACACCTTCACTGTCCTTGTGGCTGCTCTGGGCCCCACAGCATGTTCCAGAACAGTATGTTCTTCCCACACTTGGCTGGCCCTGAGAATCAAACACCTGAGGTGCTTCCCTTTTTTTTTCTTTTTTTTTTTTTCCCAAATACATTTTTATTAATTTCAGAGAGAAAGGGAGAGGGTGAGAGAGATAGAAACATCAATGATGAGAGAGAATCATTGAGTGACTGCCTCCTGCATGCCCCCTACTGGGGATTGAGCCCACAACCAGGGCATGTGCCCACCACTGGAATCGAACCTGGGACCCTTCAGTCCATTGGCCAACGCTCTACCCATTGAGCCAGACTGGCTAGGAACTGAGATGCTTCTTAAACACCCTGATTCCCAGGTCTTTCCTGGCAGGTCTGGGGCAAAGCCCTGGAATCTGCATATTCTCGAACAAGGGTACCAAGGTGGTTTTCATGACCAGCAAATGCAGGGAGTACTGTGCAGCCGGGAATCAAGACGTAGGACAGGGAGGAATGCAGTGCTGGGCAGGAGCATCTGTTTCATGTCTGGTTGTGTTCTGAGCTACTACGATGGCTAATCACAGCCTGGTGGGAAAGTTGTGCATACAAATAAAGATGACACTACTGTGTGAGGGGGAGCCCAGGGGAGTGTCTGAGGACAGTTCTTTGGGTTCTGATCCCCAGCAATACTCATTAGTCTTTCCATGACATATCCTTTGGAGAATGGTAATGAGATGCTCAGTAAACGTACAGTGACATAGAGCTCAAGTCAGATCTTACCTCTTTTACTTAGTTCAGAGTGGACCATGTGGAGGCGCAAGTAATATAGCATAATGGTTAGGATTTCAGACTGTGCTGTCATAAGAACTGTCATCAAATCTGGGCCAAGATGTTTACTTTCTATGTGGTTTTAGGCACGTTGCTTAACGTTCTGAGCCTCAGTTTTCTCATCTGTTAAATGGAAGGATAATAATACCTAAGTCTGTGAATTAAATGAGGAAAATGTGTGTAAGATGTTAACATAATATTCGGTACACAATATGTGCTCAATATGTTAATTAAAAAAAGAAGGAACTTTTACCCTTTGCATGGATGGACCTGGAGAGTATTATGCTAAGTGCAATAAGCAAGTCAGAGAAAGACAAATACCATGTGATCTCACTGATATGTGGAATCTAATGAACAAAATAAACAAACAAAATGGAACCAGAAGCATGGATACATGGAACAGACTAGCCGGTGCCCAAGGAGAGGGTGACTGGATAAAGAATGTGAGGAGATTAGTTAAAGAACATATATACATACCCCATGGACACGGACAATAGTTTGGTGAAGGCCAAGGGATCGAAAGGCTGGAGCTAGGGGGGTGGGAGGGGATGGAGGTGGGCAAAATGCAAGGAAAAGGGGGACACCTGCAATTATGTCAACATTTAACATTTTTTTATCTTCTCTCTCTCTATATATATATTTAAAATATATACATATATTTTTTATTGATTTTTTACAGAGAGGAAGGGAGAGAGCTAGAGAGCTAGAAACATAGATGAGATCAGCTGCCTAGATCAGCTGCCTCCTGTGCACCCCCTCCTGGGGATGTGCCTGCAACCAAGGTACATGCCCTTGACTGGAATCGAACCTGGAGCCCTTCAGTCTGCAGGTCAACGCTCTATCCACTGAGCCAAACAGTCAGGGCTACATTTAATATTTTTAATTGAAAATTATAATCTAGGGAACAAGACGAAGTGGAAAGTACTAGTATTGTCATTAATGTAATCAAATGGTGATATCTATGTGTTGCAGGTACTAAACACAAGGATTTTCTGGAATCTAAGGGATGCTTTGCCAACACAACACAACATCCTCTGCCCAAAAAGTCAGCCCCTCGTCTTCTGTTGTCACAGGTCCAAGTGTCAGTGAGCCTCCGGGCCCCTGCAGTGTGTCTGCTCGCCCAGAGTAAGTAAGGGTCCAGGGAAGAGCCATTGACAGCGGGGCAAACTCTGACCAGGGAGCCGACAGTTTGATGGGTAGCTTGACATCTTTGGAAAGAACATGGATTCTGGAGCCAGCTCTACCAGTTAGCATCTGTGTGAATTTGGGCAAGTGATTAGATGATTGATCCCCTGGCATATAATCAGTGCTGTGCAAGTGCTTGCTGTTATGAAGTTCAAAAGCAGGTGGAATGAAACTATGTTTTTTAGGAATACATACATACACACACAGGTGGTAAATCTTAAAGAAAAGCAAAGAAATGATTACTATGAGGGTCCTCTCTGGGAAAGGAGCACACAGAGGGCTTCTGGGGAGCAGGAGGGGACAGCTGGCCTTGCTTTGTTTATTCTTTGTCCTGGATGTTGGCTCTAAATTATTTATAATAGTAAGTATATTTTTATTTTATGTTTTGTGTATTTTTCTTTATGTGTATATCTTTTACAGTAAAAATTTTGAAAACCTTATTTTAACAAATTTTGTTATAATGAAAGTAATTTCGATTCATTGTAAAAAATTTGAAAATATAAAACCAGCATTAAAAAAAAATCACAATAGCCAGGCCAGCATGCTCAGTGGTTGAGCATTGACCTAGGAACCAGGAGGCCACGGTTTGATTCCTGGTCAGGACATATGCCAGGGTAGCAGGTTCGATCCCCAGTGTGTGGTGTGCAGGAGGCCACTGATCAATGATTCTCATCATTAATGTTTCTCTCCTTCTCTCTCCCTCTCCCTCCCTTTCTAATATCAATAATCCTATGTAATAAAAGCCTAATGTGCTAAGTGTCTGGTCATCCGTTTAACCAATCAAAGCGTAATATGCTAATGATATGCTAAGGCTACTTAACTGTGCACTATGATATGCACTGACCACCAGGGGGCAGACGCTCCAACTGGTAGGTAAGTTAACTGCTGGGGTCGGGCTGATTGGGACTGAGCGAAGTGGACTGGACATGCCTTGGAGCCCTCCCACAGTCTCTTGCCAGCTGGCCAACCTCCCATGTCCCTCCCTGGCCCTGATAGTGCACCAGTTGGTCCCTCAAGCATGATCTGCACCCTCTTGCAATCTGGGACCCCTTTGGGGATGTTGGATTGCTGGTTTCACCCGTTCCCTACAGGCTAGGCCAAGGGACCCCACCAGGGGTGTTTTAGCCTTAACTTCTCTGAAAGTCCATTTTCTTTTTAGGTGGAAATGGTTCTATTGGCCCACCCTGCATCACAAGATTGTTAGTAGGGAGTAAACACAAGCATATAAAGTTGCTTTGACACTATTCAAATATAGGGTGATATAATCTTATGAAAAAAGAGCCTATGATTTGATAACAGATACCTGAAAACATTGGCCAAGGCCATCTGTCCCATGCAAAGCTGCTTACAGCAGCTGCTTTTTCTGCTGACACCCACAGTACCTTGTTGTAGGTCCTTTCAGCTGCCAAGAAGTTCAGCACCAAATGTACTGCTCCGTTATTATAGAACCATTTCAATCTAGGTTTGCTTTTGATTATTTCCTCTTCTTTTTATAGTTATTCCTTTTTAATTTCCATTTAATGGTTTTATTGAACATGCATCATTTTTGTCTGCTAATTCCCAGCCTCAGGCAACCACTAATCTCCTTTTTATCTCTCTAGATTTGCCTATTCTGAACATTTCATATAAATGGAATAACCAATACGTGGGTTTTGGTGTCTATCTTTTAAAATTTAACACAATGTTTTCAAGGTTTATCAATGTAGTAACATGTATCAGTACATCGTCACTTTATAAAAAAAATGTGGTAAAATATTCATAGTCGAACATTTACATTTTTATCCATTTTTAATTTATTTTAAAATATACTTTTATTGATTTCAGAGAGAGATGAGAATCATGGATTGGCTGCCTCCTGTACGCCCCCTAGTGGGATCAAACCTGCAACCCCAGGCATGTGTCCCACACAGGAATTGAACTGTGACTTCCTGGTTCATAGGTTGATGCTCAACCACTAAGCCAAACCTAGCTGGACTATCTGTTTTAAGTGTACAGTTCAGTGTCATTAATTACACTTACAATGTTGTGCAATTATTATTTTAAAAGTATTTTCACCACCCAAACAGAAAGTCTCTATCTAATAAGCAATAGTTACCAATTCTCCCCTCTCTTCAGCCCCTGATACTAAATCTACCTTTTGTCTCTATGAATTTACCTATTCTAGATATTTCATGTAAGTGGGATAATACAGTATTTGTTCTTTTGTGTTTTGGTTTATTTCACTTAACATAATGTTTTTAATGTTCATCTACGTGTAGTATATATCAGGACTTCTTTCCATTATATGTCTGAATAATATTCCATTGTATGTATACACAACATTTTGGTTATCCATTCATCTTTTTTGGGAATTTGAGTGTTTTCTACTTTTGGGTTGTTATGAATAATGCTGCAGTTAATATTTGTATACATATATCTGTTTGAGTCTCTGTTTCAGTTCTTTTTCTTCTTAAATCCTCACATGAGAGTATGTTGAGAGAGAGAATGATCGATAAATGTGAGAGAGAAACATTGATCAGTTGCCTCCCCTGTGCACCCGGGTTGGGGATTGATCCTGTAATGTGGTATGTGTCCCAATGGGGAATCTAACCTGCAACCTTTTGGTGTATGGGATGATATGCTCCAACCAACTGAGCTTCTGTTTTCAATTCTTTTGGGTAAACCCTAAACGCTTAGGAGTGGGATTACTGGGTTTTATGGTAACTCTATATTACATTTTTTGAGAACCCACCAAACTGTTTTTAAGCATGCAACTTTTGAATATGTTTTAGACTCTCAAATTGTGAATAAATAAATTATATGCCCATGGGTGAGTAAGGAAGGGTATGCCTAATTATCATAAGTGAGGGTAATTCTAGTGTAAGATATGTAAGATCAGGTTCTAAATACCAGCCCTAAGAAGACGCTAACCCTTCTGCTTCCTTGCCAGCCCTGCTGCAGATTTGGACTCGAAGTCCTCCAGCTCACATTCTGACCACTCCTCTGAGACCTCATTGCCTGAAATCCAAAAGGATAAATATATCAAGGAGTGTAGCCTGCTAAAGCCGCAGACAAGTGAGTGAGCCCCAGATCCTCCGCCACGTGCCTCCAAGCTCAGGGTCTGTCCAGAGTCCGCCACACTGTCTGGCACCATGCACTGAAGACCCACTAGGCGCCAGGCATTTGACACGCTTCCTCTCTAACTCTCACAACAACTAGGCTGGGGAAAACATCATTACACGTTCTTCAAAAATAAAATTCCTTTATATAAAAACTATAAAAGAACGGTATCAAAGTGCTTAAAGAATAAAATAGATAGCCCTGCTGGGTGGCTCAGTTGGTTGGAGCATTGTTGCATATACCAAAGGTTGCGAGTTTGATTCCCTATCAGGGCACCTTGGTTGTGGCCTCGATCTCTAGTCAGGGCATGTATGGGAGACAAGCAATCAATGTTTCTCTCTCACATCAATGTTTCTCTCTCTCTCTCAAATCAATAAAACAAATTCTTGGGTAAGGATAAAAAATAAAGAAATATATGGAATATATAAAGAAACCACTTCCCCAGTGTTCTCTAACAGTATCCCCATTCTGCCCCATTGCTGTGAAGAGTTTAATGTATGCACTATTCTTCCAAAAATGTGGAGTGCATGTGTTTGCATATATAGATATATGGGCGGTAGTATTCGACCATAGAAAATAGTACACAAATGATTTTCACTCAAAGTAAATAGATCCTCAAGCTCTTTCTGTGTCAATACGTATAATAATTTTATACAGAAGAAGACTGAGGCTTGGAGAGGTTCAGAGACCCAGACAAGTCCACATAGTGAGGGAGTAGAGTGATGGGATCGGAACCCAAATTCGCCTGCTTCCAAAGCCCTTGTTCTTTCTTGGCGACCACAGAGCCAAAGTGCTTCTCAGGTAGCCATAGAGCTTTTAGGAGACCTTTTGTCGTGTAAAATCCCTTTAGCAATTTCATAGGAAAAGCATAGAGTGAGGAGACAAAGGCACTGAGAGGTCCAGTAACTTGCCTGAGGTCTCACAGCAGCCTTTCGCATTTGCCATAATCACATGCACACATATTCCAGGGTCACTGTCGTGCATGCATATGCCACTGTGGCTGCCAACACCATATTCCACCCATGGTTGCTGCGGTTGGCCCAGCCCTTCCTGGGTTGGTGGGCATTCTCTTCCTCCTACCCGCTCATCAGAGTGAAGGGTGGACCTTAGGTGCTTGTAAAACTGTCTCTGAGCTTCCCTACCCATACGTTACTTCCGGCCGTAACAATCGGCTTCATTTTTGGAGCAGAAGTTAAAAAAGAAAATAAATAAATAAAAAAGAAGTTAAAAAGGAAAAAAAAAACAAAAAAACAAATAGCTACCTCCAGCCCTGCATCTAATTATAACCGCCCAGAAACCTGCTTCTTAGCTTTCTCCCCACTTTCCTTCCTTTTCTGTCTAGTCCCACAGCGGCTAACCCGCCCTGATGGAGGGCCAAGAGATTATGCTTGTGGATAAGGGTGTGCAGCCAGAGGGTGCCTGGGGAGTTTCCACGACCTTTTGTCACCCCGTTGCATTCTGGGCCTGGCAGCGGTGCTAACGGAAGGCTTTCTGATGTGTTGCAGAAGATGGGCAACGCCCTGAGTGGACATTTTACCCGAGGTTTAGCAGCAACATCCACACCTACCACGTCGGAAAGCAGTGCTTCTTTAAGGGGGTCTTCCTCGGCAACAGGAGGTCTCTAGCGGAGAGGACGGTGGACAAGTGCCTCGGGAGAAAGAAATATGGTAATGTTGTCCCCTTGGACCTTACCTGTGCAATGCCTGACAACACCCTGGAGTCGTAATTCTGCAGGCCCAGCATTTCGTGGCTGGGGCAGCCCGGCGAGGCCACATGCCAGCCTAGTGCAGCCAGGATGATGGGCAAGTGCAGGGGATTGTTGGCAGGCTGCACTTTTCAGCAAAGAACTCACAACAGATGCTGATCCATATTTTTTTCCCCCTCTGAATCTCATGAAATGCTAATGTGACATTTCAGCCATCAGATAAGTTCTCTTAGATACTTATTAATAGAAACCTTCATGGAAGTTTGAAGAAAAGCATGTATGTTTCAGTTAGATGCTGTCTGTCACATGCATTTACACGGTACTTTATATTCTTCCCAAGAAAAGCATCCCATCCACCTTAGCCTGAAGTGTATATTATTTCATAGCTTATTTAAAGGTCATTGTCAAGAGCATATCTATCTATCTACCTATTTAACTTGGTGAGTTCTGTGTCCCATAATTTATTAAAGACCCTAAATGTTGCTGAGTACCAGCAGACCTTTTATGGCACACTCTTCTATAGAAATACCAGTGTGGGAGGCAGCCATAGCTTCAGGGATGAATAGAATCGCCGTAGCAGGACTACAAAGAGAAAGAAATAGAAAGTTCTCATTTTTGTGTTTTAAAATAGGCTTTTAAACTCATATCAGTAACTAATAGATTTGAAACCCAAGGATTTTGTTTAGGTAGAGAATACATGAAAAGCCAGACTAGAGGAGGTAGGAAAGAAGTTACTGATGGGGGGACATTGAGAAGCCCAACTCTTGAGATCCAAATCTAGTGGGTGACTGGGCATGAAAATAGCGGGGGCTTCTGCCTCGGAGTGTGGCTGGGGATGACCTCGAGCCTCAGAGGGAGGTGGCATCTGCCCTGACTCTGAGCTGGATAGTAGTGAAAGCTGTGGGTAGCAATGAGTGGACAGAAAGCCAGCCTCAGGGCTCACCCATCCAGGAGGAGTGGAAGAATAGCTGTCTTTCTGTGCCCTGTGAAGGCTGTGGAGGTTGGGACAGAGTGAAGGAATGAGGGAACGAGAGAAAGAGAAAGAACAAGCCAGGAGAGCTCACCCTGGGATGCCAGGAGGCCACAGTGTAATAATGCACCATGAACCGTCAAGCCAGGGATCTTATGAGAATAAACTTATGCTTCACCTAATGCATTGTGGAGAGGATGGCTTCCTGAGGCTCTGACTGAATGCCATATTTTAGCAGACAACAGAAATAAATGCCAACTCTCAGAGAGGAGCAGAGCTAAAGCGAGCAGCAGACACCAGTGTGGTGTGCAGACAGTAGCCCAGGACCCAAAACCTCCACTAAAGCCCTGTGCTGTGCTTCCCACTCCCAACTGAGATGCAGCCATAGGGGAGAACAAGAAGGACTTATTTAGCCGAAACTGATTTGGCTCAGTGGTAGAGCGTCGGTCTGCGGACTGAAAGGTCCCAGGTTCGATTCCGGTCAGGGGCATGTATATTGGTTGCGGCACATCCCCGGTAGGGGGTGTGCAAGAGGCAGCTGGTCGATGTTTCTCTCTCATGACGTTTCTAGCTCTCTATCTCTCTCCCTTCCTCTCTGCAAAATATCAATAAAATATATTAAAAAAAAAAAAAAGAGAGAAGGACTTATTTAACTGGTTTAAATCGGAAACAACTGAGAAATACCGAGAAGGGACCAAGTTTAGGTGTATATTACTTAGGATTGCGCTTGGCTGCAAGTAAGAGAAAAGCCTAATTTTAGAAGCTTAAATCATAAGATATTTATTATGTATCTAACAAGAAGCTTTGAAATCTAGGTGGCTGGTATGGTCTAGTTGCCCAGTAATGTCATTAAAGACATAGGCTCATTCTGTCTTTAGGCACTGTCATTCTTAATAGTGTGGGTGTCTTATAAAAAATACTTATCATTTACGGTCACAGGATAACTGTTGCCGTTCCAAGCATCATGTCTATATTTATGACCAGGGAAAGAGGAAAGTCTCTTGTTGCCTTCCCCTTTTAGAAGGAAGGAAAAGTTTTACCATGTGGTCCTTAGGAGACTTTCTTCCACTCATGTCTCACTGTCCAGAACTGGACCAGTGACGGTATATAGCCAGAGTGAATGGGAGGCCCTGGCCTGCATGGCTCAGTGGTAGAGTGTCGGATGGCACAGAAGAGTCATGAGTTCAATTACCGGCCAAGGGCATGTATCTGGGTTGTAGGTTCATTTGCCCTGGTGATGGTGGTGGCGGTGGTGGGGGAGGCAACCAATCAATGTGTCTCTCTCACATCAGTCTTTCTTTCTCTTCCCCTAAAAATCAATGGAAAAAAACCCTCCAGTGATGATTAACAACAGCAATAAAGAAGCAAGCTGTGGAAGTTTAAACATAGCGTGATATCATATATTAAAGTTTTTTTTTTTTTTTTTTTTTTAAGTGAATGGAGCCTGACCGGTATGGCTCAGTGGTTGAGCATCAATCTATGAACCAGGAGGTCATGGTTTGATTCCTGGTCAGGGCACATGCCCGGGTGGTGGGCTCCATCCCCAGTGGGGCATACAGGAGGCAGATGACAATGATTCTCTCTCATTATTATTATTATTTTTTATTTTATTTATTCTTAAAAAAATATATTTTATTGATTTTTAACAGAGAGGAAGAGAGAGATTGAGAGCTATTGTAGAAACGTCGATGAGAGAGAAACATCGGCCAGCTGTCTCTTGCACACCCCCTACCGGGGATGTGCCCCAACCAATGTATTGGGTCGGCAACTAAGTAATTGCGGATTTTAAAAAGAAAATCAAAGACAATTTTTTCATGGAACTAAATAACTTTATTCTGTAATGTATTGCCCATTTTGATCAATGACCTTTTGCCATCTTTCAGGCAGCATCATAATCCCACGTTTAAAAAACTCCTGGTTTTTATTAGCAAAAAACTGAATCAGGTACGATTTGACATCATCATCATTATTGAAATTTTTACCATTCAAGGAGTTTTGTAAAGATCAAAACAAAAAGTAATCAGATGGTTCAAGGTCAGGACTATATGGTGGATGTGGCAAAACATCCCAACCAAGCTCCATTAATTTTTGCCGAGTGACCAAAGATGTGTGTGGCCTTGCATTGTCATGATGGAATACAACACCTTTTCGATTTGTCAATTCGGGCCGCTTTTCTTCAACTGCATTGTTTAATTTCGTTAGTTGTTCAATGTAGACATCAGAATTGATCGTTCAGTTGGGTGGTAAGAGTTCAAAGTAGACAATTCCTTTGTAATCCCACCAAACTGATAACAAAACCTTCTTTTGATGAATATCAGCTTTTGATGTTGTTTGAGTTGGTTCACCTGGCCTGCTCCACGATCTTTTCCGCTTGATATTGTTGTAAACAACCCATTTTTCATCACCAGTTATCAGTCGTTTTAAAAATGGATCATTTTCATTACGTTTCTTTAGCAAATCGCAGCTGCTAATGCGTTGCGTTAACTGTGATTCTTTCAGTTCATGAGGAACCCATGTATCGAGTTTTTTAACATAGCCAAGTTGTTTTAAGTGATTTTCAATGCATGTATGTGATACATGAAGCTTCGCTGTAATCTCACGTGTTGTACTGTGACAGTCCGAATTGATTATTGCTTTGATTAGGGCGTCATCAACTTCAACTGGACGACCAGAGCGTTTTTCATCTTTGAGTGAAAAATCACCAGAACGAAATTTGGCAAACCAATTTTGACACTGCCGTTCTTTTAAGGCTTCGTCACCATAAACAGCACATAACTTTTTATGAGCTTGCGATGCGTTTTTCCCTTTGCGGAAATAAAAAAGCAAAATATGACGAAAATGTTCCTTTTGATTTTCCATTTTTCAATGAACGCCAAACGAAAACTACAAAACAGATCAAAAACCTTTTTTTACTGATTAACAGCTGAATAGCCAACTATCAAATAACAAAATGTGTTTTACATTTGTACTACGTCTGCAAACCTAAAAATTCAACTGAAGCCATATATGTGTGAAACCCGCAATTACTTAGCTGCCGACCCAATACATGCCCTTGACCGGAATCAAACCTGGGACCTTTCAATCTGCAGACCGACGCTCTTCCACTGAGCCAAACCAGCTTCGGCATTCTCTCTCATTATTGATGTTTCTCTCCCTTACCCTCTCTCTCTTTCTCTCTAAATTCAATAAAAACATATTTTTTAAAAAAGTGAAGGAGGTAATCAGTATGATCCAAGTCCTAACCCCAACCCATCTCTTCCCTCCTAACTCAACATTATCCTAAATTTTGTGATTATTCCTTTTATTTTTTTCCTTTGATGTTTAAAAACAAATAAATACTAAGGTATATTTTTGACTATTAATATATAGAATAAAATTTCAAAACATGTATAAGAAATGGCACATTGTCTTTATATTTGAAGCCTCCAATAGGCCCCTCCCTAAACATAACATCTTTCCTCCCCCTACTCCACTGGTAACCCCGATTACCTTCATGAAAAAGGAAAACTTTTTAGTAAGAACATTTACAAACATGTGCCAAAGTAGAGAGAAGAGTATAGTGTAACCAGATGTACCCATCACTTAGCTTCAACAATGATCCACATGTGCCTAAACCATGTTTCGTTTTACCCCTCTCCCCAGGAATTATTTTAAAACAAGTTCTAGACATCATATAGTTTCATCTGTAAATATATCCTTATGTACCTCTAATAATAAGGGTTATTATTTTTTTAAAATATATTTTATTGATTTTACACAGAGAGGAATTGAGAGGGACAGAGAGTTAGAAACATTGATGAGAGAGAAACACCGACCAGCTGCCTCTTGCACACCCCCCACTGGGGATGTGCCTGCAACCAAGGTACATGTCCTTGACCGGAATCGAACCTGGGACCTTTCAGTCTGCAGGCCGGTCTGAGCCAAACCGGTCCCGGCAATAAGTATTATTTTTATTAACATGACCACAATACCCTTCTCATAGCTTAAAAAAA